TAGACTAAGCTGACTGATCTGTGTAAATTCGCACACAGCTTTCACAAAACGATGTACGGATTGCTCTTTGTGTGTGTGTGTGTGCTTCAAATCATCGGAGGCTAGTTTTTTGTTTTTCTGCGATCGTCAGACCATTACTTCACAGTCACACACACACACACCCTCTTTAGCGTTACGTTCGAGGACGATGAATACCAGTAGAGAAGCTATATGCTGTTGGATGTGAGTAGGAGAACGACCATTTACATAGTTGGGTACCCATGAATGGGTGGTGGTGGTGGTGGTGGGGGAGGGCATTCCCTAACGGAATTAATGGTCGTGGGTAATCATCAACTATGTCTGAGGGACTGACTGACTGGGTTTTCACCTATTCATCCATCTCTCTGCAACTGGAAATGGTAAATCTCCAGAGGAAGAATCGTCACGTGCCCGAATCTGGCTCGCGATCGGTTTAGGACATAGTTATCATTCTGTTGTTTGCTGTACAGGTAGTAGTGTCTGGTTGTGTAAAGGTTAAACATGCATTCTCGAAGAAGAGAGCTCCGGGCGACTGAAGACGGCCACTTCGAATTATCATTCCGATCTTTTTTACGGATTCGATCGTGGTATCTTAAACGGATCTGTGTTTAGAGGAACAATCTTAGTGTTTTCATTGTTCATTATGGTATCTTTTTATCCCAGAAATCAGCATATATCTTGTTTGGCTAACCGAATCAAATCTGTGATTACAGCACATATTTTGGAGAATCATCGGCCTGACATTAGCCGTTAGAATAGTTCAACATGCATCGCACTGGAAGGTTAGGCGTTACATCGATGCGTTTTCACGGTAGGCTGAAACTGTTGGGTTTAGATTAATCGGATATCATTTTAAACATGTATAAAATGAAAAATATAATAATATAATAATAATAATAATAAATATGATATATAAAATATAAAATGAAAACTCGAGGTCATAATACAATCCACACCTTTTGCTCCGTGACATTTTACTGGTTTGAAATGCAATGTTTGCCAGTTGTTGATGATTTATGCCGCGAGGGGAACCCATCCAATGCTACTGAGCTTTTCATGAACTAAAATCGAGGGTATTCTCTTCTATTATCTCCCAAATGACATTTTCAACCCGTTAACTCAGCTTCAGACTGAGTTCTGTGGATTTCATTGAATTCGAAGCGAAATCTGCCCGAGAGCAGTCAGTTTACTTCGGAATTAGTGGATGGGTGATCGAATGGGGAAAAAATTAGTACTGTTGAGGTTACCAGGTAACTTCAGGGGCATTGTGTGTAGTTTTAGGCGGAATTCTATGCCTATATTGGAATCTCCCTTCTCTGAGACGACTAATCTTTTCATATTCCAAACATAAAACCGTTCATGTCGATTGGCTGTTATTTGTTTTCTCACAGTTGAAGCCTCTCAGCTGACTTCACTGTTGTCTGGGTACTACCAAAAGTCTCATTTGTTCAAACCACTTTTCCGTGCTCTGACATACCGTGGACGGTGGTGTCCAAGTGGTTATGTCACCAACTTGTGACCTGAGAGTCCCTGGTTCGAATCGCTCCACCGCCGCCCATCTTTCCTAATTCTGTATTTTCCCCGGGCAGCTTTTGTATGGCCGCGGCCCCTCTTCCTGAATGTTGACTGTACATTTGTATATTCAATAAATAGAAAAAGGAAGTAAAAAGGCACAAAGACAGACACATATCTGACAGCCGGATATATCATGTTTCTTTTTCACTACGGGCAATCATGGTGCGTTAGAGGGAAGAATAATCTGAGCTGAATGACGAAGCAG